GAGAAAAAAACATAAAGGGAATGAGTCAGGAAGACAGAGTGTCTCCTTGTTTGGCTATTTTGCTACTTCTCTGTAAACCCAGGCTCTGGCCTTGACCAGGCCTCCAGCACAGCTGGCCAAGTGGCCTTACAGTGTCAGCCTGGAATTTAATCTTGATAGTGAGGACCCATTAGATTTTAGAGATGTTGTGAAAAATTAATTTGTTTCTTCATAGCTTGAAATGGCATGCATTGTCAAACTGTTTACAAATCCTTGAAAGTAAAGAGTACAGTAATTAAAACTGATATCTGAGCCAGGTTGCTTGGTTCAAATCCAAGGGTTGCCTTTTACTGGTTGATCCTGGAAGAGTTTTTCGATTCTTCTGTGTCTCAACTTTGTCACCTACAATGAAGGACAATTATACTAATTTACCTCTTGGGGTTATATGAGGATTAATGCACGTAAAATGTATAAAACAATGACTGAAGAGAGCTTTCAATTTATGAGATCAGAAGCTTCTCACTCCATTCCACTGTGAGAGGGCTCATCACACTTGGGTGCTCCACTTGGCACCTATTTATCATCCTTGTACACCGTGACAGAAAAGTATGATTTAAAGCAATGTGGATAGTTACAGGGACAGAGTTGGGTACATGAGGAAACTGAATATGAATTTTTAGGAATACTGCCGCCATGCACTCACACCTTAGAACACCACAGAAATGGCTCTGCCCCTGGGAAGGTGGGACAGACAGAAATGATTCTCCAAATTTTTACGTTCCTAGAAAAGCATGAGTCCTGAAGCAGAGAGAAGGATTAAGGAATGTCATTTTAGTTTTGAAAGTTCTTATATTTATATTTAGCTGATCAATGCATCTCCCGTGCAACACAAGCGTAATTATTATTAGGCCTATCATTGTGAAATGATTTTTCTTTCCAGAATGACATTTGGATTAAGGCAGTGTCTGGGGCTTGTTACTTGGGGTGCTTATGCCCAGGAAAATCCCTGACACTAGCAGACTCTCAATAAATACAATAATGTTTTTTAAGTAAGGAGAAACCTAGAGACAACAGTACCACAAAATGGTAGATTTAAGATGGATTGTAAATCATGAATCAAAATTTTGCAATATATTTTATTAAATAAAAATGTTCAAATTCTTAACACGCAAAAGAATTTTCAAAATCAACAAACCACAAAGTGGAGCAAATGCTGAATCAAATATCAATAAAGTGTTAATAATCTTACAGTACAAAGAACCCACAAAGTCACTGAAAAAGCCCTCGAGATATTAGACAGTAGATCATTGTGCATTACCTGCCTAATACGATAGGGAATTCTTAGAGCAGTAATTATAACTGGCCAATAAATAGGTCAAAAAAATTCAAAGAAATTACAAATAAAAAATATAAATTAAAAATTAACCAGAAACATACATTTTCAACTTTTGGAGAATGTCATAATAAAAGTCAACAAAGGGGAAAGTGAGGTGAGTTGTGTCACAACTATTACATGTAAAAGAATAATATGTAACTACTAGAAAACTATTAGCATTATAACAAAAGAGTAACTGTGTTAAAACTTTAATTCAAGAAGTTAGTTTCACAGTCATTTCTACTATGTAAACCTGTACACACTGAAAAAAAAAAAAAAAAAACTAGCAGGAAATTTAGACCTAAAGAAACTTCCA